ATTCATGAACTTTGAAATTGTCATAAATCAGATTCTGTGTTGCTACGTATATGTTTAAGCTGATTTTATTGTTTTTCAGTCTTCATGAGGCTTTAATAGGTGATCTAGTTGGTGATATTGAGTTTTCCCCTTTAATTTTTTACCTAAACTTTCAAAGAAATAAATTCTAAATTTTCTTTCAGTTACTCATTATTTCCATTGGACTTTTACATTATTTTCCAACATATTGTTATGATTTTCTAAAAGTAATATTAATGAGTAAACATACCATATCTATACCTGATAAGCCTTCTAAATCATTTTTTAATTCATGAAAATGTATTTTCTAATTCACATTTTTCTGTCTCATAATTCTGAACATAGGCTATTTTATTACAATATTTTATTAGGTAATGTTTGATGTTATTAGAAATGGTTTTTCCTTTGCATTTAAAAATGTGTTTTAGTGGTAAAATCTTTAACCCAGGGAAATATTTACCTCAAAACAAGACTGGAAGTCACCTACTTCTTTGCAACGTGTATTTCCTTATCATTAATAACTTTACCAGAATTCTACTTCCTTTTCCCTGGAATCAATGTGGTTGAAAAATTTTTGATCTTGAGTAATGACCAAACTGATCCCTATCTCCTCAGAGTATTGAGCTCCACCTGATGTGACACACCTTCACACTAGTTCTTTGTGGATATAAACCAGTATAATTGTTTTTCCTGTACTAGCCACATTAATCACAGAAAATCACTGTATTCTCTCTGACCTTAGAGATAAAAGCACCCAGCATCAAACTACGTTAGGTCAACTAGACATTGTCATCAACCTCTTTGCTTCTGTGCAATGTGTTCCCAGATGTTTGGGAAATCTCAAGTTTCAACATTTTCATTTAAACATCAGATTCACTTATGGTGAATTTCATAATCTCTTAGCTCTCAGTCAACAGGAATCCTGAAGATCCTAGGAGGTTCAGTTGATTTCTGTGATTTCAATTTCACATTTCAATCCACTCTTATACATAGTTAGATTTACAAAGGTGTGATACCTAGATCTTATCCATTAGAAACATTACACAAATATCCAACAGGAAATGAGTTGATGATACTGATAATAGTCATTAATGCATTAGTATTACATATTATAAAAGAGTAGACATTCAGTTATTCTTGAGTCTCTCAGCCACAGATGTCTGAAGAACAGGAAGGTATTTTGAAAATTTATTTGCAATCTACCATGAATAGATAATTCCACTTTTCTTTTAGTTTTCAAAACTAATAATCAGGAAAATATAAAATTGGCATTTATTAAAAGCAGTTCATGCAATATCTTTGGAATATGGGCAAAATATAACTATTAACCTTTATTGAATGAAAAAAATGTAGTAATAAATTTTCATTTTGTAAACTTACAGACTCTCACTTTTAATAATAGAGGCTTTTTATATTTTATTGTCAGGACACAGTCTATTTGAGTAGGAACACAGGATACAAATTTCCTTTCCCATGTTATTTTTAATTGTAAGAAATCTTTGCTTCCTCTATTTCAAGTAATTTAGCATAACAGAAAATGAATTAAATGAAAAAGTTATCTGAATACACAATTCTTGTATATCCTCAATCTTTCTTCTTTTTGTTACTATAGAGAAGTATTAGAATCATAAGTATCAAAATTGTTAATATCTTTAGTTTTTTTCCAGTAATTGGTACTATTTTATTTTCAGTATTGCGTACACTGGCCAAAGAATCTTGAATGGAGCAAACCCTCTACTACTATCATTCTTCCTTAGCTTTTCTTCTTTTTTCCTTCCTTCCTTTCTATGTTTATGACAGTATGTAATGACCTTAAATTCATTGTGGTCAGCCTATCCTTGTCTCTTTAATGCTGAGATAAGTGGCATATGCCATCATGTTTAAATTTAACTACTTTTTAGTTATGATATCACATTATTCTAACAAATTTACAAATTTGCAAATCATAAAGTAAATTTCAACTATTTTGGTCATTAAAAATTAACAATAATCTGCTCTCTTGAGCTTATTTATTACATTTTCAAGCCCTCCTTGAAAGAATGGCCTCATCGTATCCTATAAAGGCTGGAAAAAACAAAGAGAAGTGTCAGGCTTTGTTCTTGTTTTTTCATTGGGTTGGATAATTTTTTATTGTGTTATGTTTTGTTTTAGAGTTACAAATGATATAACATGTAGAACTTATAGAAATAATTACTCACCTAAAATTGATCACAACTTTATAGCAATAGGGAGAATAAACTGCAGAATTGAATTTCTAGCCAGACTGTTGTTAAACTGCCAAGATTCACATTTTGTATGGATTAGTACTTCAGTGGTCACAAACATGGGATCCATGATGATTTAAGGTAGATCTGGCTTGCAAGATTTTTTTCTTGCATCCTAACTTCTAGGGTTCCAAAAAACACTATGGAAACTTTCAAGGGATAGAAACAATTAAGCAGTCCCACCAGTCCTACCCAACATCTATAAACCACAAAAATTACCAGTATGTCAAAAATATGCATAAAGGTTAATTAAGTGGCATTCACATGTTATTAGTATCCAATTGGTGTTTAATCAGACTTAGGACCTATTCCCCAGTAGGAAACTCTCTCTACTACAGAAAACCTAGGCAGCTTCCTGGAACCTTAGAAAAGAATCTGCTTCTGCAACTCTTTTACATTAGCATAATTTCTTAGTACTTTCAAAGTCTTATCTTTATACCCATTGGGAAATGTAGCTACCAGTCCTCATCAAAGCAGCCTATCTTTCTAGCAAATGGAAAACACAGAAAACCACAACTGAACACAATGCAGAGATAAAAAATAATGGGTATCTCAGACCCAAGATGAGATACATCCATATCACAAACCCTGCATCTATGGCTCAAAGAATATCATGGAAAAGGGGGTAGCTACCTGTGTGTTTACTTGGGTCAGAGAGGGACTGGAGATAACTCCAGCTATGGGGGGCAAAGGGGTTATTAGAATTAGAATACCAAGAAGGTTGCTATAAGTCTTTTCTAGGATAACTGCATAAATAAGACCATTAGAATGGCCACAGCAAGGGACAATGTTAACATGGAAAAGGGAAAATTGCCTGAGGTCCTAGACTTAGACAACAAATTACAGGAAAATAATGACTACTGGGAGAAGGAAAAATAGCCTTTCCTAGTGATTAACACCATAAATGGTTGTCTAATGCAGTGTGGTCAGCCTTCACACCACTTATATACAAACAACAGAAATAGATAAAATTGTTGTATTTATATATAATTGTGAGTGTATGTGTGCATGTATGTGTGTATATTTGTGTGTGAAAAACAATAATAAAACACAAAGAGCCTATCAATGAAAGTGGGGTACATAGGAGAGAGTCAAGGGGTGATAATATGGTAAAGCTGGGAGGAGAAAAGGGAGGGCAGAAATGGATGCAATCCTATTTCAATGATATTATTTAAATGAACACAAATGATAATGAAATTCTAGTACAGATAGGGACAAGGGGGAGACCTGAGACATTGCTGGTAGGTGTGTAAACCCCACTGTGAAAGATATTCCAAAACTAAAATTAGATCTGTCCTAAGACCCAGCTAAACTACTATTTATCTGAACCAATTGAAGTTATCATGTCATAGAGATGTTTTCAATTCAATCTATAGTCATTTTCATATTAAGCATTTCACCTTTAAAGACAATGATGCATATTGAATGCAATTAAAAAGTCAGCTTCCATTTATGTCTTAAAGGCTAGGTGTGGTTGGTATTCAAAATTCCAAGCTTAATACCTAGAGAGAAATTGGGAATAGCAAGTTGAGATATAATTGAGGATCCTCAGGATTTCATTATGATATTAGGGATATTAAACAATTTCATTTTCTATACATAAAATTCCATATTAAACAGTAAAGTGCTAAAATACCTCTTCTTCCCTCCATCATAATAGAAATGCTATAAATGAATAAACATGTTTTCATATTTATGAACCATAATCTTGGTTAAAAAAAACCTTGAAGTCCTGTAAATTTATATATTTATTGAAATCTGATGTATACAGCAATTTAAATATAAAAAAATTATGCATGATGATAGATTAATTTATAAAACTTTTTATGGCAGAAAACGTTTTGGGATAGTTCAAAAGTTATTTTTAAATATGTCTATTGATATAGCAATTGTTCAAGTCTTGCTTAGGCTGCCATTTCTAGTATCACAGCAGGAATCCTGGTCTTCTGACTCTTAAGATCTCCCTCCCTTCTGTCATGTTCCCTGAGTCTTAGATGCAGGAATTGAGTTCAGGATATATAACTTGGTGCTGGACTCTTCACAAACCATTGATGTCTGCATTAGGTCCAGTTTTGATTTTCTTTAATAGTCTTCATTGGCTATAAAGAAAAGCTTACTTGATGAAGATATCTGCCCTGAAATCATATACATCCCCAGGCAACACAAAAAGACTCAGAATATTGTGTTCAGACATTTGTCTAATACATTTGTTTATATCTACATAACTATCTATCCTCTACCTATCTATCTATCTATCTATCTATCTATCTATCTATCTATCTATCTATCTATCATCTATCTATCCATCCATCCATCTTTTATCTACCTATCTATCTATCTATCATTTATGTATTTGTGTATCTACCTATCATCTATCATTGATGTATCTATCATCTATCACTTATGTATCTCTATATATTTCACCTATCTACTTATCATTCATCATTTATGTATCTATATATCTGTAATCATCTATATAATCACATACCAATAATAATCAAAGAAAAAAGGCCATCATTTTGAAAGGGAGATGGTGTAGGTAACCTGAAAGGGACTAGAGGAAGGGACATAGGAGAATTTAAGAGGAAAGGGGAAATGATGTAAATATATTTTAATTATAATATATTAAATGTAAAAAGTAAATACACATAATAGCATAGACACAGTGACCATGTACAAAGGAATCTACACAGTTAAAATATTTCTGGTAAATGTGGAAGAAGCTGTTCATTCACTTGTAAGTCTATGGCTTAGTAAGTAAAACTCTTCTCAGTGCTGCAATTACATCCTTGTTCCTAAGGCTGTATATCAGGGGGTTGAACATGGGTGTCACAATCGTGTAGAATAGAGAAAGTAGCTCATCAGTTCCTGCAGAATGAATGGATTTTGGCCTCAAGTAGTTAATGGTAGCTGATCCAAAAAACAAAACGACTACCAACAGATGGGAAGAGCATGTAGAAAAGGCTTTTGCCCGTCCCGTGGCTGTTGGCAACTTCAGAATGGTGGCAATGATTTTGCTATAAGATGCAAGTATCAGCATGAAAGGGGAGGCAACAAACAGCATAGCCACTAAGTAGACAGACAGCTCCTGCATTGAAGTATCCCCACAGGCTAGCTTGAGAATTGGTGGAACGTCACAGAAGAAGTGGTCTATTCTATTAGAATGGCAGAAATGTAGAGAGAAAATTCGACAAGTTTGTCCTATCTGGACTGGGATGCCACCAAGCCAAGAGCCAACTGCCAGCTGTGTGCACTTTGTTGGATTCATGACCAGAGGATAGTGCAGAGGGTTGCAGATGGCCACATAGCGGTCGTATGACATCACAGCCAGTAGGAAACACTCAGTAGCTGCCAGAATTAGGAAGAAAAACATCTGAATAGCACAGGCCAGAAGACAAATTCTTCTATCCTGAGTCCAAAGATTGTACAGAATTCTAGGAAGAGTGACTGATACATAACATAGTTCCAGAAATGAAAAATTGGCCAGGAAAAAATACATGGGCTTTTGCAGTGCAGGGTCAATTCTAGCTATGACAATTATGAAGCTATTTCCTATGAAGATAATCACATACATTATGGAGAACATCCCAAACAGAAATCCTTGTAGGTTGGGAAGGTTAGAGAAACCAAGAAAAAGAAACTTTGTCACTGTAGTACCATTATCCTCTGGCTTATTCTCTGTGTATTCCATCTGTGGGGACAATCAACCATAAGTGCAATTATTTCCTTAGCATTGTCTATAATTTGATCTGTGAACTGAAAATAGGATATACTCAATGCCTGCATCCCATACAAGAAACTGTTACAATACGGGAAACTATATTATTAGGTACTAAAAAAAATCCATGAGCAATTTTATTTTCATTTTGCTTTTGTTTTGTGACTAGATGTTAATATGTACTCTAGTTAATAATAATAAGGCATGACACTTTTAATGCTCATCTACTCAGAGGCAGAACTCCAAATTATATCTCATTTATGCAATGATTCTATTCTTTCAGCTTATGTCTTTTACTTCTTACCTAATATTTTATTTTTGCATGTGTAATTATCACACTAAATGTTTGTTCAGTTTAATAAAGATTTATTTTGTTATTTTAAATGATATTTTCATGCAATATGTTTTATCATGTTTTTCCTTTTGCCCACATCTTTCTAAATCCTTCCCACCTCCTTACTATTCACTTTATTTTCTTTCTCTCCAATAAATGAAAACCAAACCAAACAAAAAAGAATAAAACAATATTCAAACAAAAACAAAAACACTATTGACCACCAGAATTAAAACAAAATATGGAGTCTAGGTCCTGTCTTACAACTCATCCTGAGCATGTTTTGTCATTTGTATACCCAGTGACACTCCATTAGAGAACACAGACTTTCCATTTCCCAGCAAATATCAATTGCAAATAGCTTTTTGGTTAGGTTATATTCTCTTCTGCTTCTAAGTGCTGGGATTTTGTCTGGTGTGAACCTGTGCTCATTTACATGAGGAAATATTCTTTAAATGATTGTGAAATAATTTAGGCAAGGATATATTTATTATCAAAAAGTGATTTTCTCAAACCTTCTTAACTTCTTTGTTCCTACATAGGGTCTTTTATTGCTAAATAATCATTAACTATCTACCATGTATAATTAGGTACTATTAAGATGTAAATCCATGCTTACCTTTCATTGCAAAGTCCATAAAAATAAATATTCATAACTTTTATTCAGATTTTAAGGATTGTGTGTCATTCAGCTGTGAATTTATGATGCAGAAAATAATTTTTAGGTGATCTTCCTCTATGGAATAACTCAGAAGGCAGAAAATTTTCACTGGCATTGATGGTCAAAAGAAGATCTAAGGAAGGTGTATATATCTCTACTCAGAATATAGATCTGTTGCAGAAATGGGATCAACTGAAGATATTTTTGAACTGTTCTCAAATCAGTGATATCTTCCCTGACTGTCCTTACCTTTTGGTCTCATTTGTTCTGTTCTGTCTACTGCTTTATATTAGCTTGAGAGGGTCCATGCATGCATTTAACTTAACTTATTAAGTTCTTATTTATAATAATTATTCTCATTTTGTCTCTAGACCTGTATTATAATTTCAACTGGTATTGCATATATATATATATATGTATATATATGTGTGTGTGTGTATATATATATATATATATATATATATATATATATTCTCTTCTATATTATGGATTTGGCCATGTGTTCGGTATATGAATATGTGGGAAGGACATTAATTTCATCTATGCTTGCAGAAATAGCTCATAATATCATTTCAGTGTTTGTTGAGTAATTTCTAAATTAATCATTATTAATTTAAAGATAAACATGAGATGCAAAGCAAATAGGAGTCAGACCACCAGTCATATTTAGAGACTTATGTATGTATAGTATTCTAAGCTTATGTTAAATATGAAAAAAGAACCTGAGAATTTTCTGATGATAGATATATAAAGTTATAATTTATTTTCCATTTTGAAAATTTTCATATTAAGTATTATTAGACTAAAAGCAATTATTAAAATATGAAAACGAATTAACTAAAAATTTAATGAACAGAAACTAGTAGGTAAGAGTTCACCTTATGAAGGTATGAATTTACACTCACAAATTCACAACACAAAAGTTTTCATTTTTCTACACTACATGCTAAAATTCATTTAAATATTTATTCAGTTATTTAATTCAATATACAGCTAATTTTTAGAGGCAATGATAAAAAATCTTTATTCACTTCATTGAAGACTAGAAATTATTATTTTCTGAGTTTGTTCAGCCAAATGTTTCCCTCATAAACTGCTTCCTTCAAGAGGGCACACACAGAAAACACCATCTCATTTTTCTTTACATTGGATGTGTTCATCATTTCTTACTGTTTAGGTCATAGAATGCATCTCTACATTAAACTAAACTAGGTTTATAAGATATTAGAAAGAGAAAAGCACCATGAACAGATTTACTTCCTCTACATCTCTAGAATTGTTTTATATTTATTTGTTAAGCTTCCCTGATGTTTTGCTTGGTTTTAGGTGAGGTAGTCTCACTTTTACATTGTTAAAAGAACAAATAATTTTACTCACATTTATGAGTTTTGACATTTAAACCTACATGGAAAAAAGAGACAATGCAATTGAATGATTAAAGAATTCTTACATTCTCCTTTTCTGTTTGTTTGTGGTTCTGCTATAATGCAGGGATTCATGGATGCCAAACAGCACACTACCCTGACCAGTTTGCTTGGTAAAGTCTTTGCACAAATTCCTTCAAAATGTTTTAACATATCTGTTTTTATGTTGTTGGAAACCTTTAGAACTGAATAATTACAGTAATAAAAAGAAAACCAGTAGGCATTTCAGGTAAATCTGGGCATATTGAATTCATGCACCATACCTCTATTTAACTGTCATCCTTTATGAAATACTGATTTCTGTTACTGTAGATATTGCTGTGATATTAACAGGAACATTTAACATCCATCAGAGTACAACCAACAGTTTTTATTTCTCTAAATAAGTGTATGAGTAAAATTGAAGATGGGGAATACAAATTTCCATTTCTTTAAAGCCCAAAGGAAATATGTTCATTTTCCAGATTAATTTATTATTAATATTAACTCTTAAAATTCAGGAACAAGTTGGGTAACAATAGATTAGCAAGATATTTCAATCATGTTCATCAATATTTTGATTATCTGCTATACAGTTGGAACTCCAGATTTAATGCAGATACATTTAAATATATTCCTAGTCAAAAAAGAAAATGACTTGATACATATTTGCACATAAGACAATAATATTAATGACAATAATTTTAAGGATCTGCACTTGGTTTTCATTTGATCTAATAAATGTCAAATATTGGAATAGTAAATAAAATCAATCTGAAATATCATTTGCAGTTATAAAATCCAGCAATCTATGAACTCCTTTTCATTATTTTGTATGATTCCACTCTAATGATGATATTAAAAAAATAGTACAGGTACAAGTAAATTTAATGTTTGCCAAAAGAAGCTCAAGTGTATCAGTTTGGACTTAAAATATAGCATTCTTACCTTTATCAATTGATAAATATCAGAAACCGATGAAGAAATTAGTTTAACTGTGCTTAAGAATTCTGTTTTCGTCAAAGATTGGTCATTTTCTAATACATATTCTGTTGGTGGAAGACACACTGTAATCTCAGTTGTCATCTTCTAATATATATTCTATTGGTGGAAGACACACTGCAATCTCCGTGGTCATCTTCTAATATATATTCTATTGGTGGAAGACACACTGCAATCTATGTGGTCATCTTCTAATATATATATTCTATTGGTGGAAGACACACTGCAATCTCAGTGGTAGATCATCACTACTCTTGGGATAAATTCCTTTCCCATGTTACTTTTTAATTGAACAAAACAAATTTTTTCTTGCTACTCAAGGATTTAAAATAATAATAAAAATGAATAAATGAGGCAAATATCCCTTGGGCTATCATTACTATATACCCTTAGTCTTTCTGTTCTGTGTGCAGTTATTAAGAAACACAAGTTCTGATAGCAGAAAACATAATAAAGTGTTAATTACAATATTTAGAGTTTTTGTTCTCTTTTTAAAGTATTTTGGATAAATCACAATGAAAGTTATATATGAAGAAAATGTTGCCACTGATCTAATTTCCTAGTCCTTTAGCTCCTTAAAACAATATATTTACTCATTGCACACACACACACACACACACACACACACACACACACACACAGAGAGAGAGAGAGAGAGAGAGAGA